AATTATGTTAAGTCATTGGTCCTCTCATGGAACCCAAACACAAATTGTTAGCATACCGGAACGAGATACCCAATCAAATGTTTATACTAGAACATGACAACTGATCCCATAATTACGTTGAAATGTGACAACAAATCCATGTTATTGTGCTATAATGCAACACTCGATCCATTCAACAAGATATAATCACAAGCACAATTTTATTCTCAAGATCATACAATCAAGTCATGATTTATGGCTTTCATCATTCATCTATCTTATTTGCAACAAGTATGATCAATAATGCAACATTTACATATATATCAGATATCATAATGAAACAAGAATAAACATGCAACATACAATCATATAATCATAACCATTACCTACCTCGAACAAAAGATTTAATCCCCTAAGAAACTTGATTTTTCCCTTTCTGGATTTATTCCGCTTGTTATTGGTCTACAAACGATCAATATAATATGAAAATCAATAAATAATAATTACTAATCCAAATTATTAAAAATTCTAACAAACCTATATCATACCCATGATCCAATTCCCAAATTAGGACTTTCTTCTCCATAACTAATTCCATATCAAAACTCTTTGTTATCGATAATTCCCCATTAAATTACGTTCTATGGATCAAAAAATGGATCTGGGAGTTAAAAATCTTACATGTAGCCTCAAGAATGGTCATAATCTATCAAGAAAACCCCTGCGTTCATTCCTTATCTCTCAAGTTTGATAATAATATCGCATAACCCTCAATTAATCATCGTTATTAAATTATTTATTTACACACGATTTTTTCCCTTAATAATCAATCTTTACAACAGAGAATCATACTATGTCCTTAAACTTTTTAAGAAATAAAATTTAAACAATTTCTAATCATTCTCTAGCCAACAACATATATCTATATAGTAAGTCATGCTAACCTAACCAATAACCTCAAACTTTATCCATATTAGCCAATAACGGTCTAACATTTGCCCTCTCAAGTTGTCAAAGAACGTTCTGCCAAAGTTGAAAATTCTAACTTTCAATTTAAACATTGCCAAATTTCCCTTCCCAATTTGATTATAACGACCAATTACCAACTTAAAGATGCATCCATTCCATCCATTCGATGCTATAGTAGTACAATATTTGTTCCAAAATTGGACTGTAATTTATGAAGAAACGTACTAGCAGAAAGACCCTTATTTTTTCTACAAAATATTTACTCCCTAATTATTATATAAGAGAAACTATAAATATGTGAAAATAACCCACTATTAAGTTTACATTTATTTTCCTTAACCACTAAAATAATTATAAAAATTACCACATTAACTTCACAAATGTAGTTATGAATATTGCAAAATACTCATTTAATGTCAATCGAAAAATATTTTATAAGAATAAAAAACTCTAACACTTAAAACGGCTAAATGGTTAATTACTTCAGTAATTAACACTATTATTGAATTTACTCTCTCCCTAATTTAAAAATAAAACAATCAACTTGGCTGATATATTTTATTAAACTTATTAAGTACTATTTAAATAAGACAATTCCAATTAGAATAGGTTGTTAGCAGTAGTTAGCACTATTATTATACAAAGAATATAATGAACATTTGCACCTAACTCGACTCAAAAGTTATCGATTTCCTAAGAAAAAATAACTTTCTTATATAAATTATGGGACTCTAAACATTCATTATTCCACACGGCAAAAGCTAGCTATTAATTTGGGAGAGCCTTGAATGCTCCATACTAGGTAGTAATCACTCTAACATAAGTAGGCAACTTTTTGTGAGGTAGCCCTTTTTGAGTTGGGTAGTCAGCGCCTTCCTGGAACCGTGGAAACAAAGGGTGATGGATATGAATTTGATATAATCGATACAATAAAGGAGAACATGAAATTAATATAGAGTAAGAAACACACAAAATTCTTATGACATAAATGAGCTTATTTACATACTTTAAGAAAAAAAACATAGTATAAATCATTATCATATATAGTTGAGGATGTGTATATCAATTAACATGAGAAGCTTTGATTGAATTTGAGTATACACCGTAGGAGATTAAGGAGTTGAATAAACTCGGTCTCTTGGTAATCCTAGATGAATACGAAAAGTTTAAAATTAAAAAGAAAAGTAAAAAGGGAAATAAAAACAGTAAAACCTTGTGAAATGCAAAGGCTATAGTAAGTATTTTTTATATTATTTAAGAAGTTTTATACTGTTCATGTCTGAGTTGGTGCACATCTGTCACATTCCTTAATGAGAAAAAAATAAAAGCATAATTTTACTGGGATAAGGCAAAAGTCGCCCTAGACTATGACATAAATATTAGAGACACGCCTTAAATAAACTAATCTCCTACTCCACAACCACCGAGCCAAAGTAATTTTTGTTTGTAATTTGGTACAACTTTTGTCTTACATGGCAACTGCCTGACTCCATGCAGTTCAGGTACGTGGGAGATATTTTGATTACATGTAAGTCAAAAAGGTGTATATATTTTTTTTTAAAAAATATATTCGGCGGTAATAGGACCTTAGTTTAGTTAAGGTGTGTCACTGAGATTTGGTTCATAGATTATCTTGGTGGGGTACTTGTAACTTTTCCCTAATTTTACTATATCATATTTTGAATATAATATGTTAAATATGTTGATAAATATATTGGAGAAATGAATGGTACTTTCTCTCGTCTATATTTAGTGAATTTTTAGGATATAACACTCCTATATAAGAAAAATAATAAGGACAAATATTAAAGGCTATTTTAAATTATTTTTATTATTATTCCTAATGTATTCTCGTAATAATGTGAAGTAGTTAACAGCATCATTGAATGAAAGGATAAATGTGAAGAGAAAAACCCCAATTAACAAATAACTTTGAAAAAATCACTTATTTTGAACTATAAATAAAACTTGTGTTGATTCACTTTATATGGACTAAAGGTAACAAATCTTAATAGTTAATTGGCTAATTAGATGAACTTTGGATCACCTTGTTTTTCACGCCCCGAGGAATCCCCGGGACGCGGACACAGAACCTAGGACAACAAGTGATACCAAGCTTACACTGTTGGCATGAACATTAGTATACTAAAGATAATAAACTTAATGCAGAAGCTAAATCATAATTTAAACTGAAAATATGGGAAATAATCATATACTATATAGCTGAAATATTTGATATACTAGTGAGTTTAATACAAAAAAATTATTAACTCAATACCAAGCAGAAACTAACTATGTCTGAAATTAGTCTCTAAACTAATTAGAAATGCTAAGACATGCCCCAGCTAATTCTCGTACAGACCCAATATACCCTACCAGATGTATAAAAGCATGCAAGCGTGATCACTAAACTGATTTTTCAAAGAGGGGACTCACAACCTACTTGGCTAGTAGTTTTGGGACTAATTGGGTATGTTGAACCCTAGTCCAACTCAGTATAATGCTACTCCCAATGAATTATGTAATTAACTGATTATGCTGAGTTTCTGTAAATACTGGATAGCTCAAAACTGAATATGCAAACTTAGAATGCAACAATTAATGTTATAATGATGCAATAATAATTGAGGCATGTATATCTTAAATAATTGAAATATCTTACCTAGCATGTGTAATTCAAGAAGTAAGGAAAAACATAGCTATGATTATGATATTCATGCAATAACTAGAGTAATAAAATGATAATCTGATTTGGAACATATAACTAATGAATTCATGAAGTTATGTCGAACTTCTAGAAACCGTAGGTCTAATCATGATATGTAAATCAAGAATATGACTGAAAACTAGGGATCATATGGATGAAAGAAACCCTCTAGTGAAATCCCAGATATGTAGTGATGAAATTCACGAAGGATCACATAGATTTTGGGGATGGAACTGCGAGAACCTTGTTGCATTCTTCATCTAGGGTTTTTGACCTCTTTCTCCTTTCTTGCTTCTAATTTTCTATTTTTGATTAAAAGATTTGACTTAGGTAAGTTTTAGTTATATTTCTAGGTTTAAACTGACTAAAATATAACAATTTAGGGTCAAAACGATGTATCTTAGGGTTTAAACAAAGTGGAAAAACACCAAAAGACCCCCGAGTTAATTTATGTCGGACCAAACGACCACCTGAACTAACGGTCCTTCATTCAATCTACGGACTACTATTTGAGTCCGTAGGTTGGGTCTGTTCGACAGGCCTTTACTAAAACGAGCATAACGTTTTACTTGGAGGTCTGATTTTAGCAAGGTCGGTAGCTATGGAAAGCTAATTCAATTATCTATTTTTCGTATGTCATGTGACAGAAAATTTATTTTTTGCTGAGAGTTATGACTATTTGAAGTTGAGCCAACATGATTACCACCCCTTACTGACTACTATACATCACGTATGGTCAGACGTACACACCATAGATCGAATGAAAGTCTTGCTGGACAATCGTGGTTCATGTCAGAGTAGGTAAATTGGGTGTTCATAGACGGATAGAGATTATGGACCGTAGGTCTGTCCGTCGTTCGTCACTTTGTAATATTTTCTGGGCTTCAGACTCAAACGACATATGTGCTGTACGGATCGTGGGTCAGGCTATGGTCCGTTGATGGTAACCGTCGATTGCACCAACAGATTTCTGTAAAAGATAATATTTGGTGTGTTTTTGATACGGATCGTTAGATCATCTCCCCCTTGTGAACATTTTTCCTCCAATAAAGACTAAACTAGCTGAAATAGATGGAGAGAGCTGCAGTCTCTACTACTAAACACTGAGAACAGAGTTTCTGACTGAATTTAGTTCTGAGAACATGCAAATACGCTGAAAATGAAAGTACAAATGGATGGAACATGATTCGATGAATGAATTCATGCATGAATGACTAGATAACTGCAGAAAACCTATTACCTCAAGCTGGAGAAGGATCTGAAGGAAAGAGGTGAGTATACATGGCTTTCGTGGCTGCTTTTACTTCCCAAGTATCTCCCTCTACGGACTTACTCATCCCCAAAACCTAGACTGCAGTGACTTCTTTATCTCTCAACCTTCTAATATGACGGTCACGAATCTCAAATGGTACATCCTTATAAAAAAGACTATCTTTGACTGTCACACTCTCTAATGTTACTACAAAGGTTGGGTCACCCACACACTTCTTCAAGAGCGAGATGTGGAAGATCGGATGCACTGCTGCTAAGTCTTCTAGTAACTCTAACTTATATTTCACCTTGTCAATCCTTTTAAATATCTTGTAAGGTACTACATATGTAGGACTGAGCTTTCCTTTCTTGCCAAATCTCATCACCCCTTTCATAGGTTACATTTTCAGAAAAACTCAGTCATTAACATGGAACGTTAATTCCCTTCTCCTAACATCTGCTTAAGATTTCTCACGACTTTGGGTTGTCTTAAGTCTATATCTAAGGAGTTGCACTTTCTCCATAGCATAAAGGACTGAATTTGGCTCTATTAAAGCAGCTTCACCATCTTTAAACAAACCAACATGAGATCAACACCTAGGTCGATACAAATCATCATAAAGGGCTATCTGAATTATGGAATTGTAGTTATTATTGTAGGTGAACTCAATCAGAGGAAGGTGATCATCCAAATACCCTTTAAATCGATAACACAAGATCTCAACATATCCTTTAGGGTCTAAACGGTACGATCTGCATGTCCATCATATGTGGTTGAAATGTTGTGCTAAGCTTAACTTGAGTACCGAGACCCTTCTGAAATGACTACCAGAAATGAGAGGTAAACAGAGGACCTCTATCTGAGAATATAGACAAAGGAACCCCATGTAACCTAAAAATTTCATTAATGTACAGCTTGGCATTGTCTCTGTCGAATTTGTAGTCTTGACTGCCCAAAAGCAAGAGGACTTAGTCATCTTGTCAACAATCACCCAAATCGAGTCATGTTGTCTACAAGTACTGATACGCTCAAACTTACTTCTCAAATAAGAAGTAAAGCGGTCGTGTCAAGTAAATTACCCAACTAGTGAGGTTGGGTTCGTTCCCACGAGAAAAATAGTCTACACTTAACTTCAACCTGTTATTACTATTGTTTGGTCCATGACTTCCTTGGAAAGTAAAAACAATAAAAGGGGGGTTTCTATTTCTAAATGAATGAAAATAACTACCTAAATTGAAAAAGACAC